TGTAGACAGATTTCTCTTATATTTCTGGTTCAAGGCACAACTGATGTACCTATTGCATTACCCAGAAAAGTCAGGCACAAGTGGCAATACTGTTCCTCTGAGCAAATGGCCAGGCCATTCCAGCACACTTAAGAAAAATGGTTTGTTAGTGTCTAGAAATGTTTTAACTGAGCACTGAAACATAACACTTTAGAATGACTTAAATCAAGTAATACTGTAGATGAGATGAGCTTAATGGACTGAAATGCTAGGGCTTGGACAATAGGCCCAAGCCAGAGCTGACTTACAGATGAATCCTGTGCTTCTTGTGATCAATGCTCTTTTGTGTTGGTTAACTAAACTGCTGAAATAGTTACACAGTAACACAGATGCAGATAACCTGTGCATAGGCTATATATCTGTCTGCAAAGTATTTCCAAGGCCATGCCAGCATTTGCAAGATATCTTAGGAAACTCCATCACCCATGTCCTGGGTTCTGGCCAAGCCCCAGGCTTGGTTGGTTGGAAGGGACTACCACTAGGTGTTCTCCACATGAAACCACAAAAATACTGCCAGGTCATTTTTAGCTTCCAGATTTGACCCGTAAAAGTGGGACCCTCTTGCACTGACTTTGGACTCCTCACCTACGAGTGGATGCACTGTGTAGGACTGACTTCCCAGTTGCCAGGAAAGGCTCTCCAAATCCTCATTGCAACCAGTCGCTCCAGCGACTATGGATCTGGATGATGATAAAGTATGAGGGCAATTGGTGACGTATCTTTCTTAATCACTACTCTTTCCTGTATGTAGTAACGGTTAGGTGCATTACCTTGCTTATTCTATTTGTTGTTTCTGCTGCTTGAATCAGAGCTTAGTAAACTAACTGTATATGTAAATACATTATTCATTTTTCTATTATTTTAAACACTAATAGTAAAATAAGCCTATTGGTGTCTGTGTGATGTCTGTCACCCTCATCAACTGGCAGAACAGGGACGCACAAGAATTTTAGAGAAAGAGCAATTAAATGCTAGGCCTACAATATCATGGCAGATATATAGACATATTTAACAACCTGATTTAGTCTTAAATTTTATAAAAGACTGCACTGTCCTAATCTATTTAAAGGGTGTACCTTTTTCTGCGTCTTTAATATATGAGAACAAGTTTCAACTTTCCCTTTGTGAATGCTGATGTGAATATTGTGTGATCTCAAGCATCCAGGACAGCTATCACTGCACTGGAGAAATATACAGTTAAAGCAAAGGAAAGTAAATCAGAAGAAATGACAAGCCCAGTATGCAATAGTCAGGTGGGCTTAAAAGTAAGAATAAAATCTACTTTTGGCACTATTATCCGTGGACAGGTTGTGAAGTGAGAAGTTACCGATTGTTTACTAGTTCCTAAATATGTTCTGTTTTGTAGAGCAGACTCTTCTGTTTGATGATTAATTAAAAACTGCACCTTTTCCTGACTCTTCAGCAAACAATATTGTGATGCTGTCAGTGTTTTCCCCCACTCTCTACATGCTTATGACTGGGAAATGGTAAGTAAAGACACACATGCATGGCCGCATACACTCCTGTTTGTATAAAGATGCCTTTGCAGCTAAGTTCTGACATGTGCGTGTGGAAAATCTACATTGCTTTGCTAGAAATGAGGGTAAAGAAAGGCATCAGAAAGTGGCCATCTGTTTTGCTGACCCAACAAGGCAGGTGGTCTTTCTCTATTCCACATGTGCACCTTTCACCTAACTAGAGCGTGGGCAGGACTCAGTCACCTTTAAAAGTAAAGGAAAACAAAATGTGGCAGAAAAATTCTGGATGTCATTGGATCAATTTGTCACTGTACAAATATTATTGGCAGCCTTCCTTTTGAACAATTGTCTCACATTCTATTTTGAGATAGTCCAGTGAGAGCCGAGTGTCTTTGTGTTGATAGAGAGACTCTGTCACAGAGAAACGTGAAGAGAAAACAAAGGTGCATACTCTTCTGTGTATGTGGGTCTGTGTGTGTGTGTGTGTGTGTGTGTGTGTGTGCGCTGCAGACAAAAACCAGAGAAGAGAAATCCTTTATTTTTTGTAGGCGCTTTAAGAGGTCAGGCAAGTGTATGATTTGAACCACCAACATTTGGAGGTTCATCCATCAGTCACTTTGCAAAAGACAAACCTCTGGACCAAATCTGGGTTAAGTTAAATTTCTCTAAAAAGATTAGTTTTTTAACATTTAGGTTTTCCCAACATAATGTTGTGCTGTAAGCTACAAAAGCCCACATTTTTAATATAAATATCCTCAAAATAATTGTTATTTATGTCACAATACTCTACAGTTTGATGACATCATATATTCCATGTTCAAGTATGAATTTCTGTTGCTGGTCAAGCTAGGACTAAATAATATTTTCTCCATCTGCTAAGGAAAGGCATGGGCATGCACATGTTGCTTGGAATACACACACATATGTGGATATCTAGACACTGCTCTCTGAGAAAAAGCAATATAACTCTGATATCATAAAAACAAGAAGCCTATAGTACATGTAGTACATGCAGCGGTGTCCAAGGCTTTAAGTAGTACATCATTTAACTTAAGAAAAGATTGTACATACAGAAGGCTTTATCAAGCACAAAGAATGTACTAGTTCATGTTCACCCCATTGGGCCTTTCTCTATTCCTTATCATCTGATGTCTGAGACTCTAAATATTTTTCCTAGTATAATTCCAGTTTCAAGTGCTGTGCATATAATCACTTTTGAAAAACTAAATGTTTTCAATCCTAAAGAAATTGTATGCAGTTACAATACTGAGTTTTGTTTGTGAGACTAAAAGTGGAATAGAAATTAACTCCCCATCTAAAGTAAGCATGTGTACACTACAGAAATAATACTAGTATTGAGATGTATTTTGTTTTATCCAATCAGCAGTGCTTATTTAGGTGACTGTTTACTTTCTATTTCATATAGGAAAGTGGTACATGATTATAAAAGAAAAAATGTAACTTTGAGAGAAATACTGAGGCTTCGGTCTAATCATGATGTGGTATCATCAGGATTGTAAAAGGTGACATGAAAGGACCACAAACCTCATATTCTGCCTCGGGCTTTGGCTCATGACAGGTGCCTAGGAAAAACTAATAAGCATAGTGAAAGGTATAGTAGCATTTCCATGTAATACTCTCTCTCTGCCACTAAATATAAATGGTTCTGTGACTACTTGACTTGTCCAGTCATTTTTCTTGCAACCAAGTGGTATTTTATATACCCCAATCTACCTCAGTCATGCCTCTTCTAACCTGCAAAGTATTTACCTAAAAAAACCTCTCCCTTACTTTTTGTCACCCTTTGCTTTAACTGTACTAATTCCACCATATTTGTTACAAAATGAAGGGGAACCTAACTGTACACACCTCTAAGGAGACAGGCTTATCAAAGGCATAAATTGAATCTGAAGAACCTTGACAAATATTGTTTGAAACTTCCCAGAAACAAGTTCAGTTATTTGTGCTGTACCATTACCCACAGTACTGTAAAGTAAAATTTTATTATCTTTGTTCATTACTATTTGCTTTTATTAGCTCAGGCTCACTATTTTAGTAGAACTACTCTCCAAAATATGCAGAACTTATAGGTTCTTTATACCCAGTGGTTCTTATATAATTTTATTGTAAATTCAATTAAAAAGCAATACAAGCAAAGTGTTACTCACTTGTATTTATCTTCTGAAGTGAAATGTGCTTTTCCAGGTGTCTGCGAAGCTTCACCTCTGCTCCATATTTACCCGTAGTGCCATTGTCAGCCAAAATAAAATGAGAATGCATACTGTTGAGCACTGTCAACTTGCTCATGGGATTGGACATTGTCTGGTATGGTCGAACCACCTGCATTTTAGAGACAGAGGGAAAAAAAAGTACTAAATCAAAAAGACTGTCGTGGTTTAACCCCAGCCGGCAACCAAGAACCACACAGTCACTTGCACACTCCCCCACCCATGGGATGGGGGATGGGGGAGAAGAAGGGTAAAAGCAAGAAAAGCCCATGGGTTGAGATAAAGACAGTTTAATAGAGAAAGCAAAAGCTGCACACACAAGCAAAGCAAAACAGGAAATTAATTCACTGCTTCCACAGACAGGAGCTGTTCAGCCATCTCCAGGAGAGCAGGGCCCATCACACGTAACGGTTCCTTGGGAAGACAGATGCCATCACTCCAGACGTCCCCCTTCCTCCTTCTTCCTCCCACCTTATATACTGAGCATGATGTCATTTGATATGGAATATCCCTTTGGTCAGTTTGCGTCACCTGTCCCAGCTGTGTCTCCTCCCAGTCTCCCATGCACCCCCAACTTCCTCGCCAGTGTGGCGGCACGGAACGCAGTAAAGGCCTTGACTCTGTGTGAGCTCTGCTCAGCAATAACAAAAACATCTCTGCACTATCAACCCTGTGTTCAGCACATAACTCAAACATAGCCCCATGCTAGCCACTGTGAAGAAAGTTAACTCTACTTCAGCCCAAACCAGCACAAGACCCTTAGAACTAATGCAGTGACAAGATACCAGCTGACAAGATGAAGCAAAAGGAAAAGTCAAAATTAGTTGAAGTATTGCACTTGAGTATTGCTGTCTTCTATGTGTAAGGTAGAAAATGACCACAACACTGTCCTTTTAGATTCAGACACTGCACAAAGAGTTTTCCATGACAAGCTGTTTCAACAGCATTGATGTCCACTGTTTCAGTTTAAAATCCAGCTAATGATCAGTGCTCCAAAGGTCTGTATAACTACACACACACTGTGCACCCTGTTTGCTCCTGACTTTCAATAGTTTTGCTGTAAATCCTCACTTCCTCTGACTCAAATATTTGATTCTTCCTTCACAGACCTCACCCAGCACCATGCCTCCAGTTCTGTCTCATTCAGAGACACCAGCACAGGAGGTCCACAACAGACACAGAAATACAGGTGAGTTCCATTCTTGGAGAGGTGTACACATGGTATACCATATTTTCAATTTCCTTGGAAAAAACTATTGGCCCGCTCTTAGCATTACTACAAAGGCTCACAGCATCTTTAGAAAATTTTCATTCAATGGAGACTTTGCTGCACTTCCTATGACTTAATTTCATCAGGCCAAACTCTGCTGCAGACAGCATAAACTATTGCAGAGTTATTTCACTCATAGGTACCAGACAGACTAAATAATACCACTGAGACACATTAAAGGGTAATCTATTTTGGTAAGCCTGCAGTGATGTAAGACTGTACTAACATGGCAAAATATTTGGTGTTGTGTCAAGGGACCCTGGTTGATCTTTCAAAGATTTTTTAGCAATACTGTTCCCTTATTGCTTATGTATGTCTTGTCTTTTTGGAAAGACAAGACTCCTGAAAATTTGTAAAATGAAATCCTAGCTGAAGAAATACTGAAGTGACTTGACAGAAAACTCAGTTGGGCTATCCTTCATCTGCAAGGACTTTTCTTCACAGATCTGGCATTGTTTTTCTTCAAAGTCCTGTGCTTTTGAACGCACAAAAGTGTAAATTTAAAATTTGACATAAATCCTTGCAGACAGAAATACAGTAACTTACTGACTTCCTCTTAAGCTTTTCTGTCTTTTTGTTATTATAAAGAGATCTCTAATTGAGACATAATTCTTTACAAATAAAATATCTTAGTAATTATTTGGCCAGAGATCTCTCTCTATATATTATTTTCACTTATGAATGTCTGTCACACTTTAGTCAGCTCTTAGCTGGCAAGGGAAAACCCACAGACTCCTTCCGCTGTTATAAACTGTAATGCAGAGGGTTCTCTGTAAGATGCTCATCCTGCAAAAGGGAGGAAACAGGTCTGAGAAGTCCAAGAGTGCAGCTGGCCAACAGCAAGGTTGTAAGAACAGGTGACAGCTTTGGCCCAGATTTCTTTTATACTGTTTCTTTTGGTCCTCATTCATAAGAATTTATACTACAGGTGCATATAGTGTAACAAATATAAATATGCTGCTGTAGCTAACTTCTACAAATACAGAAACCATGGATCCCATGCCACAGTCAGAAAGAAAAGGATGGTTATTTCTCACATCCCCAAGAATTAAAAAAAGTCAAACTAAAACAGCTATAGATTTTTTAAACTGATACCTGACCCATCCCTCAATATGTGGATGGCACAGACCAGCAAGATCTGATAGCCAAGGAATACCTTGAGTTGTGCATTCATTGTATGGTAACAATCCACTGTGCAGGCAGTTCTACTGACAGCCTGTGGTTTACTCCTGAGAGCCACGGCTCAAAGCTTTTTGACTCTGACAGCTTGATCTGCAGTTCTAATGAGTTGCAGCACCAAAAGCTTCACCCGTTGACTCAGTAATGCTGCTGCAGGGCAGATTAGAAGGATGTGTTTTTGCTCCGTGCTTAGCAACAAGGTGAATCTTACTATTACATTTTATATGTGTGAAAATGAGACTACAACTATTTTCAGTTGAACAGTTCACAGCATGTATAATTCAACAGCTGAATTCTTTAAGAATAAATTTCTCAAATCACACTGTCAGACTATTCCTGATTAAAGGATAAGCAAAATCTTCGGGAAGGCAAGAAAATCCTAGACATTGATGCTATTTCCTTGAGATCACTTGCTTTTCCACAACAATCACAGATTTTTGATTTCTGACTCTTGCAGTTCTCATTCCTTTGTTCTTTTCAATCCCTTGTATTTTACAGGAAAGTTAAATGGCTGGAAAACTTGCATGCCTTCTAATCCTCTTTCTGCATACACAGAGTCATATAACGGTTTGGGTTGGAAATGACCTTAAAAATCATCTAGCTCCAAAACCCCCTGCCATGGGCAAGGACACCTTCCACTAGACCAGATTGCTCAAAGCCCCATCCAAAATGGCTTTGGGAAGGTCCCATCCAACTTTGCATTGAGAATAGAGAATAATGTCCCCTGGCATCTTCCTGTCCAGATCTGAAAAGTAGTATTTATTCTCAAGACAGCCCCTCCAAATACAGTTTAACGAATGCAATAGCAGCTACGCTGTGAAGTGGTATGCTGCATGGGCTGAATGTATTCTGTCAATAGGTGAGGAGCTGGGTTAACCCCAGCAGTTGCCTTTGCACCCTGAAGTGGCAGCAAACTTGAATCAAAAGTACTGTTATTCTGCTTAGATTCCCTGTGGGCACATGACACTCCATATAGGAAGAGCACTTGAAAATCTCTCAGGGTAACTCACCATAACAATGAGCATGCAAGTGCCATGTGAACCAGTGCATGAATCTGTGCAGTCTAGGTGAAAGCAAAGAATTTAAGACAAGCAGTGTGCTCAGAGTAGTGGCGACAAAAGAAAAAGATGCATGCTTTGCTTTTCAAACAGTAGCAGCTGTTGTTCAAATCAAGTCTTCTCTGCAGCCCCATTGCTCTGGAGCATAACAAGGCATAGAGTAGTCTCTAGTTGAATTTAGAGGATCCTGGAATCACCATGGTCCAAATTCTCCGTATATGCTACAAATATGCCAGTCCTCATCTTTACCCCAGGCACACGTCCCACCTTGTGGTTTGCAATGAGAGAGCTGAATCTCTCCTCCTTACTCCTTTCCTTAGAGCAGTTATTTCCCAACCCAGTCTGCAATGAGGCTCTGATACTCTGACACTGGAAAAAAGTTATAGTGAAATAAACTTATGAACTATGCATTTATAGTAATTTGTATTATTTCACCCCCAGCAATTCAATTTATTCTCAAAGAAAATCATATTTCTTTGAGGATAGTTGCAAAATATCTACCAAAACAAGTCAAAATTGTAAACAACAAATCCAATAACAATCAAGTAATATACACATACTAATTAGCTGCCTGAGATTTGTACCTTTTATCATTATTCTGAAACTTGCAGAAAATAATTAAAGCAAAAGATAATATTTCTGATGGTAAAAATGAAGAAGTGTGAGAGACAGAAGGAACTAGACTCATGCTATAAGCTAATATTGCTGTTCAGATTACTGTGAAAGACTGAAAAGGAAACGTGTAGCCCTTCTTGACTGTCTGATGTACATGTTGTCTGGCACGCACATACAGAGCAGGCAATACGAACACATGACTTTCTGACTAGACTCACCAGATTGTGTTCTAAAGATTGTGGTTTAAAGTGTCAAGCTCATATCAACCTTGACAGCTATACAATTTATTTTTTTTCATACAGATGAATGGTAAGGAGACACTAGTTCTATGACAATTCTCGAAAGCGCATTTTTTCTGGTTTCAACAGACTTTGGTAGTCTTGTGGGTTCTATTCTGAAAAGGAAGGGGATTTGGTACAGGTGGTGTGAAGTCTTTTGCAGTGAAGCATTTACTGATGGGACAAGGGGAAGGGAGTGGTCAGGACATAATGTGTCAATTAAAATAAGCCTTTCTCTGTTAGTTAGCTGTTGTATGTAGCAAGCAGTTTCTGATCTATAACCTTTCAGCTTTCCTCATTGGTTACGTTTTCTGCAACCCCTGTTTGCTTTTATTTCCTTGACTTGTTTTTCAACTGGACATTGGCCTCACCTGTCCCCAGTGTAACAAAAATGAATAATCAATGAAGCAATATGGGGAGAGAAACACACTGTAATACCTGACAGTAACAGTACTCTCAGGGAGAAAAATCAAATGTGAGAAATTTTGAGAAGATTTAGGAACTACTCCTTATGTCAATCTCCTAGATCCATGTATGCAAGGATTTTTATAGCAAGCATGGAAGAGTGGCCTTCATGGGCTTTGCTGTGCTTCAGCATAGCATCACAGAAGCTCAATTTTAGTTTCATTTAAAAAAATTGTGGGTTTATTTTTCCCCACAAAACTTTAATTATCAAAAACATGCATTCTGTTGAAACTAGCAGGTTATACAC